CAGTATGAGACCGCTATGCTACACGCCATCCACTCATTTGAATAGACGGCAAGGAATCCCACTCGGCCACTTCCTGCTATCCGACCATCACACAACAGTCAGTAGAATAGTCTTACTAAGCTTTCGATATAGTTCTCTCGGACATTTAGGAGGTGTGGATGTGTAAGTGACATGTTAAAGTAGTGTGTGTAGTGAGGGGGTTGGGGGAATAGTACAAGGAAGAGGATGGATAAAATCGCGCCATGGTAACGTTTGTTAAGAGTACTGCTGCAGGGCATTCGTCTCGGTTCTTTGGATGGAAAAAACCTCGGAGAAGACCGTCAGACAGTAATACCGACCGCCAAAGAATTCCTTCCTCCTCTAGGCAAGGCCGGCCCTGAAATCGACCTATCTATCTTCTTTGTAGTATCCCGAAAATCCTGCACCTTCAAAGGAACCAGATCCCTAGGACCTTCCGATCAGAGGGCTTCTTGCAGTGACAATCAAGTTAATGGCCTTGATGTGCAGCCCTCTCACTTGTATTACAATTATTAGTGGTTTGAGTTCTATAAAATTTTCAGGATAAATAGTTTTTTGTATAATGTTGGTTTATTCCAAAGGATATATTTTTAAAAATCCATATTACTTCCAAGTGAATTTAAATTTTAAAATTTTTACTTGTTTTCGACGTCCAAATATGACTTCTGATGAGCTGTTCGTCCGCGCAACAGAACAGGAGAGGGGAAACGCGAATGGGACTTCCTTCGACCGGGTGACGTGCCTGGCAAAACCCACCGGAACGCGTAACTGGCCTTGCAGCAAGCCGTTAAAAGCGGTGCCAGTGCCGGATTCTCGTGAGCGAAGCGCGGCAGAAGAGACGGCGCACGTTAAGCCACGTGACATCGACGAACAAAGTAAGTTCAAAACTCCACCTTCAAGGTTTTACCACCCATTCAATCACCAATTGAGTAATGACGGGAAGACTGCGAGTTACACATTCTTATGCGATCTTGTTTTATTATGGGCGTGCTCATAATGAGGGGCCTGGACATATCGGGCAGGTAATATTTTTGACTTGTGACGAGGAAGTGGAAAACTGTCGACTAATGGGAAAGCAGGGACAGTTACTCGCAGAGCGCATTTTCTCGACTATTCTCAATTCAAAAATTTAATTGTCACTTTTTGATCCTCTCTCACTGAATCCTATTTATTCTACTTTTTATCCTAGCGCTTGAAATAATTAAATCAGTGTGTTAACTAAATTAATTACCGACTTACGGTATTTACTTGAAATATAAATCCCCATCTTATAGTAACATCCTTTGAAATGTAGAAATATATAACATAATAATGGTAATAATTCTTAAACTAATATAATTATATATCTCATGTTATTGAAACATGTGACATATTTTACAGAAATTTCTCCGGTTTAGAGTATTAGAGTATAAACCTCCGAATTAAAATTGTGTAGGAAACAGCCCTTCGTCATACTTGCTGTTAAAACTTCACTTGGTTCTCCGCTTGAAAAAACCCTCCGTACTCCTAAGTACACTTCAGGCATGCAACAACCTTTTGTGAAGCTGAAGTGATTCACAGGTGAGCAGGTTACAGAGAGGTGCTACATCAAACACGAGGTCAAAAGCAGTGACGCCCAGTTATTTCGGGGAGAGTATAGTTAAGAAAGGAATGGAGTTAACATTCTTGGGCTTTTAATATCTTCAATGCAACTTCATTTGCGAATTGTAATCATTTTCACTCTTAAATAAACGATCAGTAAAGGAGAAGAAAATAACTTATCAGACTATGAAAACGCAAGATGATATTGTGTTCTGTTATTACCATACATTCGACCTCGCACATCATCGGTTAGAAAGTCGCAAAAAATATAACTGGAACATTCAGAGATCCTTTCGATCAATTTTTTGACAAAACTTTACACGAAAATTAATACAATAATTTTTTAATGCGGTTATGGTTTAAACAGTATGATGTATGTGTAATCACGGCTAGAAGTTCATAAGTCAAAATCTTAGAATGGAGAAAACAAGGCTTAGATTTGCAGCCGCTATTGACGAGTGGTATGAAGCTAATTTCCCAACGCTTTTTTATCGTTAAGGAAGGCGGCAACATTTAAATTCGGGGTCATTTTACTAAATAAAAAATATATATACTCAACTTAGTAGTTTTAGTATTTCTCAGCTTCGGCCAAGAAATGGCTTTAAGAATTTTACCTCTGTGACAACAGATTTTATATCAAGCCACGATAAAAAAGTACAATCGCCTTCATTTTCATTGTCTTTATTAATTCTTTTCTATTCCCTTAAATATTGATCATCTTATTTTAAGAAAGGGAATGATTACAATTGCGAGTAAAGATGCAGTGAAGATGTTAAGAGGCCAAAATACAAATTCCATGCTTAAACATTCATTATTAACTACGACTCTCCGAAAATGACGGGCGTCAAAACCTCGTGTTTGTGTAGGCACCTCCTGTAACCCTGCTCACTGTAAACCGTCAAGAAGCTTTCACAAAAGGTTGTGCATCGCCTGAAGTAGTCTCAGATGAAAAAATGCTAATGGAATTTTAGAAATTTCCAGGCCCGGATTAAAACAAGAAAGGGAGCCCCCTGGACTACAAAATATGGGGGTCCATACGTAGTTACATTGTAATTTTATACTTATACGACGATCTACACGACAATAACTTTCCGCCCTTTTTTATTGTAACAAATATTTTAATATAATGTTGAAGTAACTTTGCGCAACATCAGTCTGATCGCATGTTTCGCTCCGCACTAAGTTCTGAAGAAAACATTTCTCCTGCAATAAGTTTTTTCAGCTTTATGTGGTGAGTGTGTGTGTGTGGGGGGGGGGGCTGCGCTAGAGGCATCTCCGCCCTGCAATCCTCCGCCTTAAATTCGACCCTCTGGAAACTTCTCAGAATTATATTTTTACAGCCTATGAAATATCATTGCTTCTCAGTTTTTATGTAACTCGGACTAAATGTCCTTTCGTAGCTTATGGCAAAAAATCGTTTTATTGAGACTTTTACCGCATCCACGCATTTACATTGAACCAAGCCGTTCTGGGACCTATGTCGTCCCCGCTCTGAAAATGTTCGTGTGTTCTACCTAAGCGCATTTGTTTGTGGCCCTGATTTTTCTCGACGAAAAATATATCAGGAAAAACTTAAACAATTTTTAAAGAAGAATCCGTTCACAATATCCGAGTGGATATGCCAGATCCATATGAAAGTAAATAATAATTGAAATATAATATGCTAAAATTTATAAATTTCGACCAAGAATGAAAATATCATTTTTGAATATATTTATGTTAAGCATGTTGAGGATGTAAGAAATGACAATTATGGTTTTTCATTCGATATAGTTGTGTAAATGTATGTTTGTAAATTTATACTATATATAATATAATTTGGTTATATACGTTGTAAATATATATTCATGTATACATTCAAATATTTACACCACTATAATTATATATAATATTAATATACTAAATATATATATATTATATAATAATATATATATATGTGTGTGTAAATATATTGAATGTATAACATGATCAATACGACCTATTCTCAAAATATATAGTAATAAAACTCTACAAGACTGAGAGGTTATCAGTCTAAATATTATGTATGGCAATAACAAATATAAATGAACAAACCTGAAAGGCACAATTTTTGATCAGGAAGAAAACAAACTTTAAAAAAAATGGGTTGCTAACACCAAATCTACGTGTATACTGAATTCGTTTATAAATAAAAGAGAATCTCTATGCACATACATAAAAATTATGAATAACTCGTAAGCGTCTAATTAAAATATATACCTTCAGTGATTTATTCACTAAATTGTTATTTTTTGAAATTGTTGCTGTATGAATTGCAGAAACATATTTTAGTTTTAGTTTAATAGTAAAATATTGTTTTAAGAGGTACGATGGAGATAATAATACGTTTGAAGATTTCAAATACTAAAATTGACTATCGCGAGGCTATATGACCGAACCAAGAAAGAAATAATAAAAAAGTTACTATAGTAATGTCGAACAAAACTCCCTCTGGAAAGCACAGTAAGTTGTATTTCCCTTGAAGCGCATTTCAATAATGGTCGACGAGACGAGGGCCTTTCATGTACAATGGTGTGAAACGAGTGAGAATGTATTGTGAGATTACATATTCTTTAGCAGAAGTGAATATTTCCATTCGCATTCTATGCTATTACTATAAGCCAAATGGAAAAATTTTATGTTCAATGATTGGACAGATGCGAATCATTTTATTTTCAGAAATTTTAATTCACGAAAACGTAGATTATGTCTTAAATGCAATGAGTTTTTATGTAGCAGAAACGGTCCATTTTTATTAAATATATTTATGGTATCCTTGATAAGAAAACTAGGTTGGGTTCACATGATGGTTTCTTGAGTTACGTAACAAAATACACATCATTATGAATATCTTTTACATTTGAAGAAATTAACCCAACTGACGCCTTTCCAATGTTTGTTTAGTTAACGTTGCGTATCATGTGTGTTTGGCGTTCGTGAAATGCGTTCCAGAGGAAAAGGAAGAAATCATGAATAATGTTTTTCTTAATTCTTGGAAGCCATGGATTATATTTTCCTAGGTAGTGTTCTTGGAGTTTCTGCTCTTTTTTGCAGATATGTTATTGACAAACAATGAAATAAACGTTCTAATTCAATTCCATCCGCCGACATTTTGCCGATCTTTTTTAAGTTGTTCATCTTAAATCCAAATGAAAGTGCCGCAATGCGGAATTTAATTATCTTTCAACAATTAAATCTAATGTAATGTGACAAGTTCCCTCGAGTTAACAAATGGGAGAAAGAACGAGAAAGGGTCAACATTTTTTGGATTCATCGGGTTTAAAAAACCTTTTTCGGTCGCTTTGGTTTGATTAATGTTATTCCTTGAGAAGCATCTAAGATGTTTCCATTCTGGTTTTTACACTTAAATGAATTATAGATAATCTTTTTCTTTGACTACGTGTTGGTAATTCTGTGTACTGTTGACTTCGCAGATGCTTAAGTTCGTGTTGTTAGTATCCGTCTGCCGCCATGCTACGGCCTTTACTGCAGAGAATTTGAAGGTAAGATTTCGAAAAAGCTCAATACATAAATTTGAACACTCTAATTAGTTTATTTATTTAATTTCTCTTTTCTAATAATTCTTCTTCCGAGTCCCTGATTCTTTTACTTATTCTTATATTCTCTCCCCTTCATAACTTCTTCTTATCTTTCCCCTTCCACTGCTACCAAGGATTATGTTTTCACACCAATTTCGGTTAACAATTATCAATCCATTTGTTGAGGAGTCTTCAGCTGAGCATATCAAACTTTGCCGAAAGTTTTTATTTATTTTCTTACTTTGGGCATTCTTTACTATATGCTCTAGTCTATAGTTCTATCACTGCTATATCCCGGGCATATCGTCCCATTTACACCTAACATACACTAATCGTACCATTACACTAACTCTCCTCTCTTTTCCTCTCTTTTCCTCTCTTTTCCTCTCTTTTCCTCTCTTTTCTCTCTTTCCTCTCTTTTCCTCTCTTTTCCTCTCTTTTTCTCTCTCTTTTCCTCTCTTTTCCTCTCTTTTCCTCTCCTTCTCTCTTTTCCTCTCTTTTCCTCTCTTTTCCTCTCTTTTCCTCTCGTTTCCTCTCTTTTTCCCTCCTTTTTCCTCTCTTTTCCTCTCTTTTCCCTCTTTTCCTCTCTTTTCCTCTCTTTTCCTCTCTTTCCTCTCTTTTCCTCTCTTTTCTCTCTTTCCTCTTTTTCCTCCTTTTCTCTCTTTCCTCTCTTTCCTCTCTTTTCCTCTCTTTTCCTCTCTTTTCCTCTCTTTTCCTCTCTTTTCCTCTCTTTTCCCCTCTTTTCCTTCTTTTCCTTCTTTTCCTCTCTTTTCCTCTCTTTTCCTCTCTTTTCCTCTTTTTCTTCTCTTTCCTCTCTTTTCCTCTCTTTTCCTCTCTTTTCCTCTCTTTTCCTCTCTTTTCCTCTCTTTCCTCCTTTCCTCTCTTTTCCTCTCTTTCCTCTCTTTTCCTCTCTTTCCTCTCTTTTCCTCTCTTTTCCCTCTCTTTCCTCTCTTTTCCTTCTTTTCCTCTCTTTTCCTCTCTTTCCTCTCTTTTCCTCTCTTTTTCCTCTCTTTTCCAATTTTTTCTCTCTTTTTCCTCTCTTTTCCTCTCTTTTCCTCTCTTTTTCCTCTCTTTTCCCTTTTCCTCTCTTTTCCTCTCTTTTCCTCTCTTTTCCTCTCTTTTCCTCTCTTTTCCTCTCTTTTCCTCTCTTTTCCTCTCTGGTTTCCTCTCTTTTTCCTCTCTTTTCCTCTCTTTTTCCTCTCTTTTCCTCTCTTTTCCTCTCTTTTCCTCTCTTTCTCTCTTTTTCCTCTCTTTCCTCTCTTTTCCTCTCTTTCTCTCTCTTTTCCTCTCTTTTCCTCTCTTTTCCTCTCTTTTTTCCTCGTTTTTCCTCTCTTTCTCTCTTCCATTTTCCTCTATTTTCTCTATTTCTCTATTTTTCCTCTATTTTCCTGCTGTTTCCTCTATTTACCGTCTATTTTCTCATATTTTCCTCCTTTTCCCTCCCTTTCCCTCCCTTTCTTCTCTCCTCTCTTGGCAAACTCGTTCACAAGAACGACCCAATATTTGTATTAGAGATTGTAGAAATAGTATTGAGATTTAAATATTGAATTCAAAATAACTATGATATGATTTCATATCTTCGGGAGTTGAGTATATGTGATCTGAACTAGCTAGCTTACTGGCATCCGTAAATTGGCATATTAAACCGAATTTTTTATGTGGAAAGAGAGGGAAAGAGAGGGAAAGAGAGGGAAAGAGAGGGAAAGAGAGGGAAAGAGAGGGAAAGAGGCTCGCGCTAAAAGGCCGGTCCGTGCAAATTCCGTTACGTTCCTGTTACCGTCTGGCAGAGAAAGGAAGTAACCCTCGGGCGATGAAACCGACTGTCACTAGGCTCGTAAATCTAGTGCATGCAAATTCGGGGAAGTGGCGGAGTTCCTTCCCCGATAGAACGTGATATAAGACGTACAAGATGTTCCCCCAGATATCTCCACCCTCGGGGCACGGCCAAAATCGGGCTCCACACTGGTCTCGAAATTGATTAATTTTGTTTTCGGGAGTCACAATTCCTTGGGAAATCAGTCCTGTTAGTGTAATGGACGATATGTCCCGGGATATAGCAGTGATAGACCTAGACTAGAGCATATAGAAAGAATGCAAAAGTAAGAAATAAATAAAAACTTTCGCGCAAAGTTTGATAATGCTAGGTAGAAGACTCCTCAACAAATGGATTGATATTGTTAACCGGAATTGGTGAAAATCATAATCCTTGGTAGCAGTGGAAGGGGAAGGATAAGAAGAAGTATAAGGGAGAGAGAATATACAGAATAAGTAAAAGAATCAGACTCGGAAGAAGAATTATTAGAAAAGAGAAAGAGATAATAAAATAAATAAACTAATTAGTGGTTTCAAAGTATGTATTTGGGCTTTTTCGAAATCTTACCTTCAAATCTCTGAGGAAAGGCCGTAGCAGTGGCGGCAACGGATACTAACAACACGAACCTAAGCATCTGAAAGTCAACGTACAAAGAATTACAACACTTAGTCAAAGAAAAAATTATCTATAATTCATTTAAGTGTAAAACCAGAATGGAAACATCTTAGATGCTTCTCAGAAAATACATTAATCAAACAAAGGTCCGAAAAAGGTTTTTTAACCCGTGAATCCAAAAAATTGTTGACCCTTTCTCGTTCTTTCTCCCATTTGTTAACTCGAGAAACTTGTTACATTACATTATATTTAATTGTGAAGATAATTAAATCCGCATTGCAGCACTTTCATTGGATTTAAATGAACTTAAAAAATGATCGGCAAATGCGGGGGGATGGAAGTGAAATTAGATTGTTTATTTCATTGGTTTGGTACAATAACATATCTGCACAAAAAGAAGCAGAAACTCAAGAAAACTACCTAGGAAAAATATTATCATGGCTTCCAAGAATTAAGAAAAAAATTATCATGATTTCTTTCTTTTCCTCTGGAACGCCATTCCTCGAACGCCAAACACAAGATGATACTCAACTTTAACTAATACAAACATTGAAAAGGTTCCAGTTGGGTTAATCTCAAATGTAAAGATATCCAATAAGTGATGTGTATTTTTGTTACGTAACTCAAGAACCATCATGTGAAAAACCTTAGGTTTTATCAAGGGATACAAAATATATTTAATAAAAATGACCGTTTCTGCTAGCAATAAAAACTTCATTGCATTTAAGACTAATCTACTTTTCGTGAATTAAAATTTCTTAAAAAAAATATGCGCATCTTCCAATAATTGAACATAAATATTTCCATTGGCGTTCATAGTAATATGCATATGAATGCAATGGAAATATTCAACTTTCTGTAAAAATATGTAACTTCACAATTACATTCTCACTCGCTTCACACCATTGTACATGAAAGGCCTCGTCTCGTCGACCATTAATTGAAAAGCGCTTCAAGGGAAATACAACTTACTGTGCTTTCGAAGGGATTTTTAGTTCGACACTACTATAGTAACTTTTTTTATTTATTTTCTTCTTGTTCGGCCATATAGCCTCTCGAAGGTCAGTTTTTAGTATTTGAAATCTCAAACGTATTATTATCTCCATCGTATCTCTTAAAAACATATTTTACTATTAAACTAAAACTAAAATATGTTTATGCAATTCATACAGCAACAATTTCAAAAAAATAACAATTTAGTGAATAAATCACTGAAGGTAATATGTTAATTAACGCTTACGATTTATCATAACTTTTTTATGTATATGCATAGAAGATTCTCTTTTCATTTATTAAAACGAATTCAGTATACTCGTAATTTGTGTTAGCAACACATTTTTTAAAAAATTATTTTCTTCCTGATCAAAAATTGTGCCTTTCAGGGTTTGTTCATTTATATTTTTTATGCATACATAATATTTAGGCTGATAACCTCTCAGTCTTGTAGAGTTTTACTACTAGATATTTGAGAATAGGTCGTATATTCATGTATACATTCAAATATTTATATATATATATATATATATATATATATATATATATATATATATATACATATATACATATATACAACATACATTTACACAATTTATATCGAATGAAAAGCCATATATTGTTCATTCTTACATCCCAACACTGTATATAAATATATTCAAACATTATATTTTCATTCTTGGGTCGAAAATTTATAAATTTTAGCATATTATATTTCAATTATTATTTAATTTTATAGGGATCTTAGCATATCACTCGGATATTGTGAACGGATACTCTTAAAATTGTTTAAGGTTTTTCCTGGATATATTTTTAGTGAGAAAAATCAGGCCACAACAAAATTGCGCTTAGTAGAACAACGAACTTTTCAGAGCGGGAACGACATAGTTCCAGAACGGCTGTCAATGTAAGATGCGGGATGCGGGTCGTCGTCATAACCGATTTGCCATAAGCTACGAAAGGACTATTTAGTCCGAGTTACATAAACTGAGTAAAGCAATGATTTCATAGCTGTAAAAATATAATTCTGAGAAGTTTCCAGGGTCGAATTTAAGGCGGAGATGCCTCTAGCGCAGCCCCCCCCCACACACACACACACTCACCACATAAAGCTGAAAAACTTATGCAGGAGAAAATGTTTCTCAGAACTTGTGCCGGAGGAACATGGATCAGACTGATGTTGCGCAAAGTTACTTCAACATTATATTTAAAATATTTGTTCAATAAAAAAGGGCGGAAAGTTAATGTCGTGTAGATCGTCGTATAAGTATAAAATTACAATGTACTACGTATAGGACCCCTATATTTTGTCAGTCCAGGGGCTCCCCTTTCTGTTAATCCGGGCCTGGAAATTTCTAAAATTACCATTAGCATTTCTCATCTGAGAACTACTTCAGGCATGCACAACCTTTTGTGAAGCTTCTTGACGGTTTACAGTGAGCAGGGTTACAGGAGGTGCTACACAAACACGAGGTTTTGACGCCCCGTCATTTCGGGAGAGTCGTAGTTAATAATGAATGTTTAAGCATGGAATTTGTATTCTTGGCCTCTTAACACCTTCCCTGCATCTTTATTCGCAATTGTAATCATTCCCTCTCTTAAATTAAATGATCAATATAAGGGATAGAAAATAATTAATAAAGACAATGAAAATGAAGACGATGGTACTTGTTATTATCGTGGCTTGATATAAATCTGTTGTCACAGGGTAAAAGTTCTTAAGCCAATTTTTGGCGAAGCTGAGTTAAGTACTAAAACTACAAGTTGAGTATATATATTTTTTTAGTAAAATGACCGAATTTAAATGTTGCCTTCTTAACGATAAAAAAGCGTTGGGAAATTTAGCTTCATACCACTCGTCAATAGCGGCTGCAAAATCTAAGCCTTGTTTTCTCCAATCTAAGATTTTTGACTTGTGAACTTCTAGCCCGTGATTACAGATACATCATACTGTTACCCCATAACCGCATTAAAAAATTATTATATTAATTTTCGTTAAATTGTCAAAATTTATCGAAAAGTATCTCTAAATGTTCCAGTTTATATTTTTTGCGACTTTCATAACCATGATGTCGAGGTTCGAATGTATGGTAATAACAAACACAATATCGTCTTCGTTTTCATAGTCTGATAAGTTATTTTCTCTCCTTTATACTGATCGTTTATATTAAGAGTGAAAATGATTACAATCGCAATTGAAGATGCATTGAAGATATTAAAAGCCCAAGAATGTTAACTCCATTCTTTCTTAACTATGACTCTCCCGAAATAACTGGGCGTCACTGCTTTTGACCTCGTGTTTGTGTAGCACCTTCTGTAACCCTGCTCACTGTGAATCACTTCAGCTTCACAAAAGGTTGTGCATGCCTGAAGTGTACTTAGAGAGTACGGAGTTTTTCAAGGCGGAGGAACAAGTGAAGTTACAGCAAGTATGACGAAGGCTGTTTCCTACACAATTTTAATTCGGATGTTTATACTCTAATAACTCTAAACGAGAATTTTCTGTAAATATGTCACATGTTCCAATAAATGAGTATATAATTATATTAGTTTAAGAATATTACCATTATTATTGTTATAAATTTCTACATTCAAAGGATATTATTAAAGATGGGGATTTATATTCAAGTAAATACCGTACGTCGTAATTTATTTTAGTTTAACACACTGATTTAATATTTCAAGCGCTAGGATAAAAGTAGAATAAATAGGATCAGTGAGAGAGGATCAAAAGTGACAATTTAAATTTTTTGAATTGAGAATAGTCGATAATGCGCTCTGCGAGTAACTGCTTTCCCATTTAGTTCGACAGTTTTCCACTTCCTCGTCACAAGTCAAAATATCACCTGCCCGATATTCCAGGCCCCCTCATTATGAGCACGCCCAATAATAAACAAGATGCATAAGAATGTGTAACTCTCAGTCTTCCCGTCATTACTCAATGGTAATTGAATGGTTTAAAACCTGAAGTGGAGTTTGAACTTACTTTGATTCGTCGATGGCAACGTGCTAACGTGCGCCGTCTCTTCTGCCGCTGCTTCGCTCACGAGAATCAGGCACTGGCCCGCTTTTAACGGCGTCGCTGCAAGGCCAGTACGCTTTCCGGGTTTGTGCCAGGGCACGTCACCCGGTCGAAGGAAGCTCATTCGCGTTTCCCCTTCTCCTGTTCTGTGCGCGACGAACAGCTCATTAGAAGTCTATTTGACGTTGAAAACAGGTAAAATTTAAAATTAAATTCACTTGGAAGTGATATGGATTTTTAAAAATATTCTTTGGAATAACAACATTATACAAACTATTATCTGAAATTATAAATAACATTATGTAATCAGGTGAGGTGACTCAGGCCATTAACTGATGTCACTGCATAGCCTCTGACCGGAAGGTCCTAGGATTCTGGTCCTGAAGGTGGCAGGATTTTAGACACTACAGAGATAGATAGGTCGATTTCAGCCGCTGCCTAGAGGAGAATTTTTGTGGTCGGTATACTCTGATCGGTCTTCCGAGGTTTTTCCCATAAACACGAGACGAATACTGCAGCAGTACTCTAACAAACGTACCATGCGCGATTTATCCATCCTCTTCCTTGTACTATCCCCACCCCTCACTACACACACTACTCTTACATGTCCTACACTATCACACCTCAAATGTCCGGAGACAAGTCGGAAGCTTAGAGCTTGTCTCGGCTGGGTGGGGGGAATGGGGTATGGGGAAAACTCCACAAGCCGACATGTAGATTAGCGCCGGATCTCACCAACGAGCGGGCAAGAACACCGCCATCTCCCATGCTAAACACGCACTACACTTAGGGTACTAATGAACATAGCAGTTGACTCGCCCGGACACACGAATCACGAAAATCAATCAAACATTCTGATGTTGATTATTATCAGTGGAAAGAATTGCAATGTTTTACGTGTAAAAATAATGGATACAGAAACAGAATAAAAATACCACAATTATTTCCGAATGATTTTTTGTTAATTAGAAGAAAAGAGAAGTATCTGAAGAGAAAAATTTATC